GGCCAAGAGCTGAAATGCCCAAACGCTGCATCCCATCTCAGGGGCAGGAGCAGAAACTGGAGCACCAGCAGCTTGAAGGAGACCCTTCCCTGGAGGTGGGGAGGCTGTGTGAGGGGCCGGAGGTTGAGCAAGAGAGGTCAGGCTGTGGGAAGGTAATGAGCTGTGGGGGTAGCCGAGGAGGCAGGGCCTCCATTAGGGCCTTATTTGGGCTGAAGAAGTGCTCCTGGGATGGGAGGCAGCCACGTTTCTATGTTACTGAGTTCTTGTGTTTATCCCTCAGCATGCATACGGCTACCTGATGGTACATATTTTTGGCTCTGTCTTTTTAAAAATTATTTTTAATTGTGGTAAAATGTATATAACGAAGTTTACATCTTAACCATTTACAGTTCAATGGCATTAAGTATATTCGCATCACCATCATGAGTCTCCAGAACTCTTTTAATCTTCCCAAACTGAGACTCTGTGCCCATTAATAACTCCCCCTTTCTCCCTCTCCCCAGACCCTGATAGCCACCATTCTACTTTCTAACTCTATGAATTTGGCCATTCTAAGTACTTCATGTAAGTGGAATCATACAGTATTTATCCTCTTGTGGCTGGCTTATTTCATTCTGCATAATGAGCCTCAATAAGGTTCATCCATATTGTAGCCTGGGTCAGAATGTCCTTCCTTTTTAAGGCCAAATACTATTCCTCTGTGTGTATATGCCACATTGTTTATCCAGTCACCCACCGACAGACATGCGGGTTATTTCTACCCTTTACTATTGTGAATAAAGCTGCCTGAATATGGGTGTACAGACTTGGCTCTGTATTTTTGTATATTTCCCTCTATGTCCACGTTTGTATTATATTCCATTTGTGTAAGTAAAAAAACCAAGACTATTGGCAATTTTGTATGGTTCAATTCAACATATATACTTATCCTATGCAGAACTGTACCTGTACATGTAGGTACATGTACGTACTGTGATGTTTGTGCATCTGCTTGGCTGTCTTTAAGGATCTAGCTGCATGTCAGTGTATATTTACCTGTGTGCATCTGTGTATATGTACTCATGTGTGCAAGTCTGGGCACAGATCTATCAATTTGTTGCATGAGTGCCTGGGCAATGGTGGTCTTTGACCCTAACTATGGTATAAGGGAGCTCAACTGAGAAGGGCATGGATGGGAAGACTGAGTCAAAGGGATTCCCGACATCTTGATAACGAAAAGCATGTAAATCAAATCAAATCCCCCAGGGCTGCAGGACTGGAGGCCCCTCCCTATGGGCTGAGTGGGTGAAGGGCAACAAGAGGGTAGATAAATGGATCCTGGCCATGGGGTGGGGGCCCACGGTGATGGGAACCATACAGATAGCTAAGCCAGACCCTGGCTACAGTGTGTTGGGCACAAGCCCCTTAATAACTGTTATTAAGAGGAAGAAAAATATTTTCCTGTCCAGGAGGTGTGTCAGGCGCCTGCTTGGCATCCTTCTGCCATCCTGGGGGACATTTAGCCTTATCTCTAACCAGCCAAGTGGCGCCTGGACAGGTGACTGTCTTAAGGCTGGCCTGCAGCCCTCCAGGTGCAGGCCACTCTGATTCCAACACTGCCACATACCTTTAATGTGGCACCTCTAGGTAAGGGAGATAAAATTCCTGGGGAGAAGCTGCCAGGGTGAGTAGGGGAGCCAGTGTGCCCAACTCCGTTGAATCAAGGCAAAGCAATCCTAGGATCTAGAGATACAGGGCCAAGTGGCAAGGATTCCCAGAGGCTGGTTTGAGCTGGTTGTGAGGATGAAAAGACTTCCCGATGTTCAGAATGGCACGCAGGGTGCTCCAGGCTGGAGGACTAGAGGGGCAAGGGTAGGCTAGTGAAAGAAGGTGCGGGCGGGGCAGCGAAGGGACTGTCAGAAAGGCCATCCGGGCCACACTCTGAAAAGGGCCTTGCTAAAGTAAGACCTCTCTGCCCTACCGGGCATGGCTCAGCGGTTGAGCATCCACCTGGGATCTGGGCGATTGGGGTTCGATTCCCGGTCAGGGCACAGGCCCGGGTTGCGGGCTGCAGCCAATCAATGACTCTCTCATCATTGATGTTTCTATCTCTCTCTCTCCCTCTCCTTTCCTCTCTCTGAGATCAATAAAGATATATTAAAAAAAAGGAAAAAAAAGTACGACCTCTCCTCCCAAAGATGACAGCACAGAGTGGTATTGTAGGTTAGCCCAGGAAGCAGCTCCCTAGGGGCAGAGTAGCCCAAAGCACCAGACTCCCAGAAACACCCCAGATGGGTGTGGCTCACTGTCCCTGAGCACCAGAGGCCTCCGGGAGGTCACACTGGCTCTAGCACTTAATGAGTTGAACAATCCTCTGAGTCAGTGGCTGAATCTGTGAAATGGGACCGACACCACCTCCTTCTCCAGGCTGTTGTGAGGAATAAGGGGGTTGCTCTGACACGTGGCTGACTGAGGGGAGTATCAGCCCAGCACCTGCTGATTCCAGAGCTTTCTGGCCGTGAAAGGGCAGGGGCTCGGTGAAGGCCTGAAGACAAATGAAGCAGTGACCAGGGGCACCTCCTGGTCAGTCTCTGGCCCCTCCTGGACCAAAGGCTGGCCCTGAAGATGAACATGGCTCCCGGCCTCTCATCCCAGAGATGTGGCCTCTCATCCCAGTTCAGGAGGCAAGGTCCTCTCTCTCCACTTTGCACACAGACGAGTATTCACACCTTTCTTGGGCACTCAGGCACAAGGAACAAGAATGTTGGCATTCTATTTCAGAAAGGTGGCTGTGTCTGCGTCTAGGCTGTAGACACTGTGACAATGGGGTCTCATCCTTTCCCTCACACCTTTCCCTCCACCTCTCTCCATTTCTCTCATTCAATGGTGGGTGATCCAGTCACCGCTCCCTCCCCTGCCCTGCTGTCCATCCAATCCACCCTGCATGTATATACATATGTATTTATTCGTATTGATTTGAGAGAGGAGCATCGACTCATTGCACCCACTAGTTGTTTCT